AAAAAAAAAAAAAAAAAAAAAAAAAAAAAAAAAACATAGGTACTTAAGCTTATAATTCAAGTAGGTATCACGACCAAAAATATAAATATAATCTCATAAATAATCTTCGATAAATAGAATAATCCGAGAAATTCTATAAATCGAACGGGGCGCTAAAGCGGCGGTGGCGGCGGCGGTGGCTGATATTTTCCAACAGTGTGCGGTGTGTGTGTATTGTGTGTGAGTGTGTGAGAGAGAGTATCGTGTGGGGTGGGGCGGGGTATGGGGTGGGGTTGGGGTAGTTGGACCGAATTTTTCATTGATTGGGTATTTGGCAGGTTATTAAATATGTATCGGGTCCCACCTTTTTGGGTGATGTGTAGAAAATTAACATATTATCCTTAATAAAGTTATAATTTTGGCTTTTTAAATCATTAGAAAATCTGATTTATTGGCTACGGTTTATTCTCATTTTTTTCACTAAGAACTATTATCATGTGAACCCAACTCTATATATAGAGAGTTGGGTTCACTTGAGAATAATTCTTAATGAAAGAAATGAGAATAAATATGTTAGCATCCGACCTGGTATCCGTATTACTCATACAAAATCATATACTCAAGGGACCATTAATGATTTCAGCCAAACTTCTCTCACTTCGGTTTTAAACCCGGACCGAATTTCGGCTCAATCCGAATTGTAACCGACTTGTCGACTAGCAGAGTTTCATCCGACATTCTCCCACTATCACCGACCTGCAGTCCAAAACCGAGGTCACCAAAATCAAAGCATGTGACAAGGCGCACACGCGACGTCCTCGTACACCGCAAGGTATCTCATCATTCAAGTGGGTCCCACTCGCATGGCCGCCTACCAAAAAGCTACTTTACGAAAAGTGACCGTAGACCTAGAAATACGTGCTCTAAAAAATACTATATATAGCAAATCTTTTTTCTTGTACAAGGATCGGATCCTGAACATTGATCACATATATAAAATCAGCCCAACTCTTTCACCTCGGTTCACCTCGAACCGGGGCCATTGCACATGCGATGATGCATGTTATACATTCATATTTACATAAATAACCACTTAATCCATATTTAAAATGTTGTTAACAATCACTTAACAACAGTTTGGCGTTAGAAGGAGGGCTCATAAGGTATTTGGGGTCAACCTTCAACACTTTTCAAGTAGCTGCATCATTGAAGTTGTTACACCAATTATGTCTCAGTCAGAATAACGCAGTTACACATCGAGAGATGGTCATAGTCATGGTGTTTCCTAATCTGTCTGACGAACTGCGGCTATGCCGAATATACCAGATTATGCGACTTTATTTCAAAATCTAGAATTTGCGAGGGGTTTTGCCACATTAATGGCTCAAACGATACCTGGAGTGTCAACAAATGCACCAGGACAATCTGTCATTCCAACAAAACTTGCTAATCCCCGAATCCCATCAACGCGGCGAGGCAGCGACAAAGCTACTTCACATGCAACGTCTCAACCTCGCAGTGGAGCCTCACAGCCGCACCGAGAAAGAGTGGTTCCTCAGACTGAAGTTGTTCGTGCTCCTCCCGTAATTTCCTGTGAAATGACCTCCGAAAGTCAGTCCGAGCATCATCGGAGGTCTCCACCTAATGTTCAACCTCAAGCCCACTCTCTCCCGGTGCAAACAGATCTTCGTCAGCAAATAGAAAGAAATCGTTCAGCTCGGCAAGAATCCACCGATTTAGAAGTATTCCGACAGAAGATAGCTGAAATGGAGTCGGCAAAAGGTTCAAAAAGACTCCCCGCGCCGAGCATCCACCTCGGCACAAGTTTATTTGGAAGCAGATTCTCCTTTAGCTCCTGAGCTTACTTCGGAGCCAGTTCCCGAGAAAGTCAAGGGGGTAAGGGAGGGGGGGTGTTGCTGTGACTAAATAACAACAGCCTCTACAGTAAAATCTCAGCCATTCATTACACATAAATTAAAATAAAATCTAATGGCTGCAAATAAATAGAATAAACTAATAAAACTTAACAAGTTTAGCCCCTCGTACCCCTCCACAATCCCAGCAAATTTATCCCAAAATTCAGAAATTCTCAAACAGCAAAAAAAAACCCGAGAAAATGCCACGCATGAAGCAAACATCTCACAAATCCACCGGCAAGAAGGCTCCCCGCAAGCAGCTGGCCACCAAAGCTGCCAGGAAGTCTGCTCCAGTGACCGGCAGCTTTAAGAAGCCCCACTGCTTTCGTCCCGGCACCGTCGCCCTCCGTGAGATCCGCAAGTACCCGGAGGCGGCGGACACCAACTTGTGCGCCATCCACGCCAAGAGGGTGACGATAAGGACATCCAGCTGACTCGTAGGATCAAGGGCGAGAGGGCTTAGTTTGTCTTTCTGAGTTTGGTGTTTGTTAGGGTAAATAGGCATGGGAGGTTGTGATTGTAGTGCTTGTGCCTCTTGTTTTTTAAAGTCATCAAGTTATCCAGTTGTTTTCTATATCAGTAATGGAAAATCAACTACTATATTACTTATTATTTCATCTTTTTATTTCTAGCTTAACTTTCTTTCATAGTTTACTGCATTGTTGTTGGTTTGATTTCAAGAATTTCAACTACTAAGGGCTTGCTTGTTTAAGGCCATAACAGCGAAATTCATTGTATTTCTAACTGCTTAGTTCACTTTGGTTTGTATGTAGATCCTAAAAATATGTTCTGTTTTAGTGTACACAATGAGTATCTCCACACCTAAATTATACAACACATTATAAGATAAGTTTGTCATAAAGCAATCTTCTGTACACTTAAATTGTCAATATGATTTAGTTGGGAGAATTATGAAGTTGGTTATGGTTGAAAAGCTTAGCCATCTTTCTTTTACGAGTATGCCGGATTCACTGGGCCTATTCCTAAAGATCATTACTGAACTTGCATTGTCTGTAATAAGCAGAATATAAATCGAAATTGAAATCAATTTCAACAAAAAATGTTATCTATGATCAACAAAGAATGAATCAGTCAACCAAAAATTGAATATACAAAAAGCAAGAAGCTCCTACAGTTAAATCTTAGTCATTCATTACATATAAATTAAAACAAAATCTAAGATCAACAGTTTCTAGTTGAAGCTCCAGGCAAACTAAAATACAACACATCAGATTATGTCAAATACAGACATTAAGTCAATCAACATACAACACATTAGATTATGTTGCACAACAACATATACATATATCCAACAACCATTGAAAATTTAAAAAAAAATAAATTAAAATTAAGAAGTTATTAGGTTAAACAATGACAGTTGTTCTCTCAAGAATAATGAATTACAATTCTAAAAATTAATTTATAATTGTCTTGCATTTCTCTTGAAGTAGTCCCGACCTCAGTCGCTTGAACGCCTGAAATTGAATAAGTACATGAAAAATCAATAATAAAAATTTGTTATCGAATAATTATAACTATTTATTTACAAAGACGTACCGTTATGAATTTGAGATACCACCTAGTTGGATGAAGCGACACCATCTTTCACAAATTCTTACGGATTAATAGAACGCAGTAATTAACCGAGAACCAGTTCGTTTACGACGATCAGTATAAAACGAACTTCTCCTCTTTAGGATCCTATTCAATACATAAATGTACTAGTGCAACTAATCAGTCAAGACAAACTGAACGGTTGACACTACAACCGTTTGGATGTGGTGTTTATGTCCATCTAGGTTGTGAACCATAATTCTTGTTTCGCAAGTAACTGGTTGAATGATCTTCGGTTCGCCCGATGATGACCCACACTATCAATTGCAAAACAACAGAATGTAGAACTTGTTTAATCTAACATGATTCTCATTCATAAAGGGTAAAAGTGTAATGTCATCCAAAACCAAGCTCTTAGTATATAACACTAGCACAACTATCATCAATATTATCAATATATTGCATAATATCAATCAATCATTCTTACACCCCACATCAACTTTAATTCATTATTCACTATCTTCTTTCTCATATGATCTCTTATCTCTCTCTATATATAACTCCCTCACTTTGAAAGTTTTAATTTCCATAATAACTGTCATAAAATAAATTAAGCATGCATACACATTAAAAAATGCCAGTAGCTAAAATATTATTCCATTATTCAAATAATGCTAACCATATTTTGATTCTTTTCTAACAAAAATAATATTCCATTATTCTTACTTTTCTCTACTTGACCACATTTACACGCTATTGAAAAAAAAAAAAAAAGAAAAAAAAAAATTCAAACTAGATCATTTGTGAACATTTTTTGCCATTTCTTCAATAAATCCACTCACTCACGTATTTGTTGTTGCTATTAGTTTGCTCAATAACTGTTCTCTTCAAGAAAAAAATAAATAAAAACAATAAAAATAAAAATAAAAAATTAACGTATTTTCGTGAAATCGTAGTATATTATCAATGTTGACTATCATTTTATTAGAAATATTTTCATCCCATATTATTCTCCTTGAAAAGTAAAACACCTCCCCCGCATACGGAACCTATGGTCCAAGTCATAAATGAATTAATAAGTTATTACCTTTTGTTATTGAAAATTGGTGGGAATTATTATTAAAACAAATTCATTGAAATTTGAACTTGAAAATTGGTGGGAATTATTATTAAAACAAATTCATTGAAATTTGAACACAATCCTCGTGCAATTAGTCAACTCATGTTATTTCTACAACTGAAAAAAGAAATATAAAATCATGATTTTTCAACGCCAAAATATGGTACAAAGTCAGGGGTGCTTGATTAACAAAGAATGGAATTAATATTCAAATATATAACTTAATTTTAACTCAATCCTATTATCTTAGTATTATTCATATAATTAAATAATATAAACTAATTATTCTTACACGTCACATTGTATGGCTTGACTGTTATTGTGTTACAATAAAGCCTGAATTTTTAACTTTTTTTTTCATTTGAAGGTTTCGATTTTAAATTATTCTCAATATAAGACCAATTTTTAAATTCTACTTTTCAATTTAATACTCCAAATCACTCTGTATTTTGCACTGTTCTAAAAACCGGCCCAGTCGGCCGCCTAGGCGTCGCCTAGGCGCTAGGCAGTGCCCGGGCGCCTCCGATTTGCACGGTCAGGCGGCGCTTAGGCGGGCATAGGCGCTCCTAGGCGGACTTGGCGGGCTCGGCGGCCAGGCGGCTATGCGGCGCCTAGGTACCTAGACGGGCTCAGCGGCAATTTTTCAGTTTTTTTTAATTTTATTAAATACTAATTACATTATTTTGTTCTTATGTTTTTTTTTTTAAATATATTAATTTAATTATTTGGACTTAGGTATGTCGATTTATTATAAGAAGAGATAGTTTATTTTGTAGGTAGTTAAAATAAATAAAAAAATAAAGTATTTAATATTGATTTCTAGGCGCCGCCTAGGCAGGTCATAGGCGCTAGACGCTGGTCGAGCGCCTAGGGGGTGCCTAGCGACTTTTAGAACATTGGTATTTTGATATAATTATGTAAACAACAATACTTTTTTTAAATTAATTTTTCTAAGTACTTGTAATGAAAAATATTAAATATCTTTAATAAAATTATCCAATAAGATAATTATTTCATAATTTACTTTTATGCAAAAGCTTAATGAAACTTATTTTAAAAGCTAAAAAATAAAGTTTAACTTAATTTTAATCTAAATATGTGACAACATTCAAAGATAAACTATTTAGAAAATAATTTTCTATTTTAAATAAACTTATAGAAAATATTATTTGTGAATAATTTATATTTTTAAAAAAATTAAGAATATATAAAATTAATACCCGAAAAATTCTCTTGTAGTAGTTTTATTAACAATTAATTTTTTTCTACAAGTTTATTTTAAAAAATAATACTATATTTCTAAATAGTTTATATTTTAATGCTATCACATAGGTCAGCCCGAAAGAAAAACCTATCGAATCATAAATATGAAAATTTTCCAATTTGCAGGAGAACCAGGAACATGGAGCT